CCCAAGTGGCGCACTTATCCAGTGCGCCACCGGGCCGGCCCCGCGATGAATGTTAACAGCACCAATAACAGAACCACTGACAACATTGCTTCTTGAAATGATGCACTGAGAAGGACTTAGCATCATTTCAGAGGTTTTCCTGAGCAAAATTTATAACCTGAGTCCAATAATGAGAAAATACCAAAGCCAAATTAGAGTGAATTCTATAAAATAACTAACTGCCTTGTATTTCTTGGAAACTATAAAAATGTCATGACAAAGAAACACCAAAACTAGATTTTTTTTTTTTTTTTTTTTGTCCTTTTTGAGACCAGCCACACTGTGCTCAGCCAGTGAGCGCTGTGAGCGCACCGCTCATCCCTATATAGGATCCGAACCCGCAGCGGGAGCGCTGTTGTGCTCCCAGCGCCGCACTCTCCCTAGTGCGCCACGGGCTCGGCCCCAAAACTAGATTTTAAAAGATTCCAGATTTTTCTTAAATGAGACATGAAAACTAAATACAATAAGTGATCATGATTGGTTCTTTAACCATTAAAAAAATAAAAGCTTTAAATAATATTATTGGAACAATCAGAGAAATCTAAATAAGATCTATGAACAAGATAATAGCATTCAATCAATGTAATTTCCTGATTGTGACCACTGTACTGCGATTGTGCAAATGAATGCTCTTGTTCTTAGGAAATACACACTGAAGTATTTAGGAATAAAGCAGCTTACTCCAAAATCGTTCTTAAAACGTGTGTGCGTGTGTGTGTGCGCACGTATGTGTATAAATACACAGAAAAAGACAGAAGACAATAAAACAAATGTGGGAAATGTTAACAATTGGTGAATATGGGTAAAGGGTATGGGAGTTTTTCCATATTATTCTTATAACATTTTTGAAATTATTTCAAAATAAAAAAAATTTTAATAAAAATATACTCCCAATTAATAAAAAAGATGACATAATAAACATTTGAAATGGCCTTAGAAAACAGCAAGAGTTGTAGATATTTATGCCATATACTGTACACATACCTGTCTGTATTCATGTTAGACTGAGAGTTTAAAGAGTTATCCAACTCATTCTCACTTTCTTCTGACTGGCTATTAACAGCTCCTTCTTCTCCTCCATCATCTACTTCATTAAGAGCCTAAATCAACACAATAACAAAAGTAACAACACAAGTTGATTATATATACACTCATCCTTTCTCTTTGCCATAAGAGAAAAGAGATCCCTCCTCCTAAGGTTAATCCCTCCAAATCCTCTCACCTCCTTCCACTCCATCAACTGTCCTTTCTCTCTCCTGCATCTTCACTCTCTCTCTCTCTCTCTGGAGAGTACTGACTTCAGCTCTTCAGCATTTAAATGTGAACAAGCCCCTCCCAAGTTATCCCGACCATATACCCACCTCGAGCTCCCATCTATTCTCTTTCATCAAACTTCTTGAAAGAGTTGTTCTCCACTTCTCATTCACCATCTGTGCCCTGCAACTTTGCTTCTGCCCTACCGTGCCACTCAAATTGCTCTCTACAAGGTCAACATCAACACACTATTTCTAAATCAAATGGAAATTTCTGTCTTTGCCTTCCCTTACATCTCTGACTCATTAGACCTTAATGATCAGTCATTGCTTTCCTTCAAAATCTTCTTGATACAC